ATTTACAATTTCGGTCCTCACCGTGTTGCAGACGGTTGAACAAGTGGAGGAGGCGGCCATAGCATTGGCGGTGGTTTGCAATCCTCGTGCGACGATAATTTTGGATTCACAAAGAGCTTGTCAAAACTTTGCGCGAGGGGTCGTGGGTCAACCAGCTCTAAGGCTCCTCCGCAAAACCGCGGTAGAGGGAGTACATCTGATCTGGACCCCCGGCCATATGGGGCAAGTCGGAAACGAGGCGGCGAATGCTGCGGCCCGAGGTGCGTTATACCGGGACTCGGTTCTGCCCCACAGGGATCTGGACAGTGCGCTCACTTACAGTGAGGCCTTAAGGGCTCTACGAACACATAGGGCAGAATATCCTGGGCCGGCCAAAGGTCTCAGCAAAGAAGAAGAATTCACGTGGAGACGACTTCAGACGGACACGTTCGTCACACCGATCCAGCTACATCTGTGGTACCCAGAGCGGTACGCCACGGCAGACTGTCCCTTCTGTGGTGAGCCCTGGGTGGACGTTTATCACGTTGTCTGGGCATGCAACAACCTCCCAGGACTGGCTCCAGTCGAGGAGCCCAAACTCGAGGAGTGGGAAGCGGGACTCAAGTACGCGACGGCTAGCGAGCAGAGGCTGCTCGTGGCCCGAGCACTCCGAGTTCACTCCGCACTTGGAGCCCCGGAATAGGGGCACACAACCACTCTCTCCTTTTTCTTCCCCTTTCTCCCCCTCCCTTTCCTAAATCTTTCAACTCAATAAAGTTTTTCAACAACAACTCACCGTGTTTTTCAAACTGAAAGTTTCTACTGGCAACAATGAAAAAGTGACGTCATTGGAAGTGCAGGGGTTCACTCTTTGGACTGTAGAATTTGTTCCCTACTGATTCAAAGCAGTTTCATGGTGTCAAATGAAAGCTTTGGAAGCTCGCTCCAGTCCCCGCGCTCCAGCACGGAACAAATGATTGACATATTCTATTTTTTAGACTGCTCGCCCGACTGGCAAGCTAACCTTCCACTGACGTCACGGCCCTGAAAGGGGCGGGTATATTTGAAGGTTTGTTTTTGCATCATTTTCATTTGCCGATTTCGCAATAACTATTATGAATTTCACGATACTAAATAGCATACCAGAAAGGGCAAAGGCCGGGGAGTCAGAAAATATAGTTAGTTGAGGTAGCTCAAAAATCGGCGGAGTACCCCTTTAAGAATGCCAGTATGAACAGGTTCTGGCACAAAAGGGGCGAGGAAAGGAGAACTTGACCTTACAAGCACAGCTCCAAGGCCAGCGGTGTCAGAACAGTGGGGGCGGGGGGGGGGGGGGGGGGCAATAGGCAATCGGTCTCACACTAGTATATGCCCAAACATTACAGACATTCCTCGCAAAATGTTTTGAAAAAGGGAGAACAATTCCCCTTCCCGAACAGTTCCGACACGACCCCTGGGGCAAAAGAGCTAAACCCTCCAATAAAATGAAAAAAGAAATAGCAAACTAGTCGCTAGCGTGCTTTCTCTGCATGTTGTCTGCTTGAAAAAGGTGAAAACGCCACCCTATGCGGAAGCTTTCCCGCTATGCTCTCTCCTGTCACGGTGTTCTCCACCGCGCTGCAAATGGCCAGCGCGGATGCCGCCGCTCTGCCGCTGCGAAAAATGTCTAACGCCCCATACGCACATTCGCGTTTGAGCGCGTTTGAGTGCGTTGCGGAGTCCTTGCGGCCAGGCGCGGTCGCTTTCGGAGCGACGCGCGCCTCCCCGCAACGCTCGGTAGCGCGACGCAAGCGAGTAAAGACTTGTTCGACTTTCCGAAGCGTTGCGGTGCGTTCGGGTGCGTTCGACCAATCAGAAGCCGAAAGAGGAGGGGGGGGGGGGGGGGGGGGGGTGACGTGTTCGCTCGCCCCACCCGGCCGACTCGGCGAGACGTATCCGGTTCGCCGGTCTTAATGCTTGCTTTTTCGTTTTGGGGAGCGGTGGGGACTGTATTTTCCAAGGCTGCGATGGTTCAGGCTTGACAAAACGTCGGGGAAGCCGGCGAGATTGTCCCGAGATCGAACACTTCGACGCTGCCACTGTGCGCCGCCATGTTGCCTTGGATTTCGCTTACTATTGGTGAGCCACTAGCGACGATAGCGCGTTCTTATTGGCTCTTGACTGCGGTTGACTGCGTGTCAACGCAACTGTGCGTACACGTTTGGAGCAAGCGGTCTTCGCAACGCAACGCGTCCGCTTGCCGCTACGGAACGCACCGCGCTCAAACGCGAATGTGCGTATGGGCCTTAACCTTCTCGAACCGCGTTGCTCTGCTGCTGCGGCTGGCCAGAGCGCCGCGGCGGCGGGAATCGCGCTCTAGGAGCAAAATCGCTGCGTGTGAAACACGCAGAATGGGTGCACAATTATCTTGATTAAAACTTGTTGTTTCCCTAGTTGGTTCATGATGCAGTCTTGAGGTTTTTGCGCGACACAAGGGACAATCACAAGCGAGTAGACACGGACAAGCGCAAACTTTCAACTAGTTTATTCGTGCGCGATCGACCACGAACATCCAGAAAGAGCATGCGCAGCACGCTACACAGAAGAAAAAAGGAAACAGAAAATCGATAGTAAAGTCACCCACCAAGACACATTCCACGATAGTCATTATCGAACCAGCAACCCGGATAAAAACTGCACTTCACTTTCAAACAAAGAAACCGAGGTATCGCTATTACAGCCACGGCCCTTCTTTATATAAAAAGCTTCCATCAATTCTCTGGCTGTGCTGTCTTTGCTTCTACCCAAGATCCTAAACTCCTGAAATCGCGCCTCACACCCGCAGTCGGCACAGTGAGCAGGCAAGTGTGCATTGCCTTTATTCATGACCGACAATTCATGTTCCCGTGCGCGGTCATTAACACAGCGACCAGTTTGACCAATATATACTTTCCCACACGAGAGCGGAATCTCGTATACCACCGCTGTGGCACAATCCACAAATGGTCGGGTGTGCTTTTTGTTGCAGCCACTCATCTTTTCTCTTCCCGAGGAAATCCTCGGGCAAAGGCCCGCAAGCTTGCGTGGAGCAGAGAACACGAAAGGTACATTGTGCCTTGCGTGTTCTCTGCTCCACGCACCCGAGCCTTTGCCCGAGGATTTCCTCCCGCACCCGAGCCTTTGCCCGAGACTTTGCGGGCCTTTGCCCGAGGATTTCCTCGGAAAGAAAAAAGACGAGTGACTGCAACAAAAAGCATGCCCGACCGTTTGTGGGTATTGCCACAGCGGTGGTATACGAGATTCCGCCCTCGTGTGGGAAAGTATATATTGGTCAAACTGGTCGCTGTGTTAATGACCGCGCACGGGAGCAGAATTGTCGGTCAGGAATAAAGGCAATGCACACTTGCCTACTCACTGTGCCGACTGTGGGTGTGAGGCGCGATTTCAGGAGATTAGGATCTTGGGTAGAAGCAAAGACAGCACAGCCAGAGAATTGGTGGAAGCTTTTTATATAAAGAAGGGCCGTGACTGTGTCAGCGATACCTCGGTTTCTTTGCTTGAAAGTGAAGTGCAGTTTTTATCCGGGTTGCTGGTTCGATAATGACTATCGTGGAATGTGTCTTGGTGGGTGACTTTTGTATCGATTTTCTGTTTCCTTTTTTCTTCTATGTAGCGTGCTGCGCATGCTCTTTCTGGATGTTCGTGGTCGATCGAGAAAGAATAAACTAGTTGAAAGTTTTCGCTTGTCCGTGTCTACTCGCTTGTGATTGTCCCTTGTGTCGCGCAAAAACCTTTAGACTGCACAATTATCTTGGACGCACCGCCGAAAACCCAACGACGCCAGTGTGGGTGCAGCGTGTTTTGTGCAAAAGTGGATTCTTATTATTCGTAAAAAAATAAAAGTAATGTGTCCAACTTCGATGTGACCGTGCTTCCTTGGCTAACAAAACGATACTACATATGGCTGGGAATACGAAAGGAATATGCTCTCCGTTTCATATTTCTAACTTCTGAGTAAGAAAACCAAAATTGCGTTTGCATGGTGTTTTCCAGAAATCAGGCAAGACATTTTTCGGGGTCAGAACTGTACTATCAGGAACCTAGTCTTTTCTCATGCAATGGACGCAGCGGTACTGCCGCTGGATGCCTTTGCTGTTAATTAACGGAGCGAAAATATGCTAGCTGATAATTTACCGAAATAAAACAAGTGAACGCAATAGACTAATCGAGGAGTAGCCATAAATGTTCTAGAAACGCGAACCAGTTCCTAGCGGCAGCTGCGAGCGAACGTTAGGTGTTCGGTACAGTCACCGTACAGCCCAGGTATGCTGCCCAAATGTTGAGAACGGCCTCACTGACATGCCCGGAAGTAATTAAATGACGACCGCTTGAGAGCAGTAGGTGGAATGGTCGATGATGATGGAATTTCTACGTCACCTACCGTAGGCCAAAGTGGTGCAGGTAGGACACGAGCGGGTCGTCCGCGTTTGTCAACACCTCTTGGATCGAGCACCGCAGTGCTGCATTTTATTTGTCACATTCCCGGGGCCAGTGAGTCATGTGTCAGCCTTTGACTGGGGCTTGTGTTCTCACTCAATGAGCGCGGGCTCTATTCGAACGCTGATGTCCCACTCCTGTTCAATCTGTAGACCGCTCTCAGTAGCTGATAAACAAGGTTGTACACTACGGTTTTACAGGATAGGAATAAAATCTACAAAAATGAGCCCCGCGAAAGGAATACTCGCGAAAGGGCTGTTATTTTGGTCAGGTTAAACTAACATAATTTCACCTACTCTCACGCTATGATGAATACTACAGTTTTCTCTCTAGGAGGTGTTTGTTTGACTTCTCAATTTGTGAAGACGATTCCTAGCTGACACAAAACTCGTGTCCCATCTCTGCCTCGGGCTAGCTTCTGGTTGACGTAGAAAATCGAGGGGCCTGCTCACCTACGAGGTGTTCACTCGTCTGTTAAGACACCGATGGCTAAACGGGAGAGAGGGACTACCCCAGCACTACGTCAAGATTCAAGCGTCCCATACCTTCGCTCTTTCTCGACCAGCCACTGCTTGCTTCGTCCAAGGCACCAGCAGCCGCAGCGCCATCCTGTGAGAAAAATGCAGATATGTCGACCAATCCGAGATCTAGGAAGAAAGGTCTGCAACTTGAGCCCACCTTCGCCATAAATTGAGTGGTGTACTCAAGATCGGTTCAGTTGGTGACACGGAAGCTGGCTCTGGTGAAGCAACTGCATGCTGTGCCAAAAAAAAAGCAAAAAAAAAGCGTAAATGTAGCTTAGGAAATTCGCCCAAATTAAGCTCTCCACAAATCACCCCCCAAAAACATGTGACACTTTTAGAATCTTTCCCGTTAGAGCGAGAAACAACAAACACTGCTAGTAATCAGGTGAAATGCACCCTTGTCAGCAATCGTCTGTATGTTTGAGGGTCATCGATGGTTGAAGATGGATATAAGCAACGCAAAGTGTGAATTTCATAAAAGTTATTTAGCTGGTCCAAGAGCCAAAAATAAGATCTGTTTAGCTAAAGGGCAGGTCATCTCCCGATCTCTTTTTTGTGGGCGCCTCCATTTCGGTCTTTTTTAGTGCATCCCGGGTACAATTGGTGATGATTACAATTCGATAACTTGATTTCCTGAGTTTCACAGATGGTGTCAAGACGGTGAGACGAGATTGTTTGCTCTGTCGCGGACTTTATTGTCTTTGGAGGACACAAAACGTTTTCCGGCGAGTTGAGCTTCAGATAGCTGGCAACAATGATTTTAAGCAGCACGATGGCTGAAGTGTTGTTACTTCGAAGCGCATCTCTGGTGGCGCCCCCTGTGGTGCTCACCTGCAAAGTGGTTATCAGGGGCTCGGGGTCCAGTTGCCAAGGTACGGACTGCATGTCAAACTGCATGAATAAATGTCACATCCCTAAGGATCGTAGGGCGGGGCTGGTACAGATAATGCGATTATCGCGCAATAGCCAAGGAGGCATCAGCCGCTCATAACTCCGAAGAAGGAATCACAAATCGGTGAGAAGAGTCGCTTAATCTGTCAGGGAGACTGTATTCAGTCCGGCCGCTAACTTTCACTGTCTTTCTTTACCCTTTCCAGGACAGTGAAAGGGAAAGCCCACCACTCTGGTTATAAAGGCAGACTTCCACCAGCTTCTTGCATACACTCTACTCTTAAAAGCGTTCAATGTAAGATGTTGAAGGGAGATTCATGGAATCGTAACCGTCGTTCCACTAAGGTCAAGACTTCGAGAGAAACGTCTTCTACCAATGTTGAGACATCCGGGAGACTCTTTTGTAAGTTCTTCCTTCCAGAATGGCTAGATTCATGCTTTCTTTGGACAGTCTCAAAGAAAGAAATGTTGGTTTAGCTGCTTGAACTTTTAGATATTAGTAAATGTGATTTTGTGCATTCCAACAAAAACTAAAACAAATGAGACGTTCATGTTTAGACTACATAAGGTCGGACTGCCTTTGAGACATGGCGAGTCCGGTTTACGCTGTAGAAGAGCCATTCAGGCAGTGCGCTATGACTGCTAGTGCTAGTCTGGGCTTTTCAACGTCCAGCACGCCGCATTCATGCACGACTAAAGAATTGATGTATTAAAAAAAGACGTAAAAAAAAGAAGAAAAAGCCGCATCTTTTTGCTATTTTTGAACGAGACAACATGCAATTGTCGGTATCACCAAAGTATATATCAACACGAGTTGACTATCCGTAAATGATGCATGAACATCGTTCCTGAAAATCTAAGTATACATAAATGCACGCATGTTGCAAAAATAATGCGCTCATGAGGTTTTTTTTAAAAAATGTGAACCCTTTGGTTTTTAAATATTCTTCCTTCATTTTGAGTGTTTTATGAAGAGTTATTTTTTGATGCACTGTCAGTGCAAAATTTTAATTCATGGCGAATAAAAATGAAGCTCGCTATCGTCTTTTTTTCTACATTCTCGTTTACTTAATACGCATAAAGCCTTATTAGCCCGATAGATGTAAATTTATTTTTCTATAGACATTACAGTCAGGCAACCTACACCGTAAGTTCTGTAGGTTTTATTAACAACCTTAAGTATGTCCTGCATGCTACAGATCTTCGATGTAGTATTTAGGGAAGAAAACATTTTAAAGAACATCACTATCTCAAGTAATCTAAGCGGTGATTGACTCCCTTATTGTCATGATGAGAAAAAAACTGAGACTGCTCCGTAAATTAGCAGAACATTTACTGATATATATGCATTGTTAGACTAGGTTTTTGCACTTTTCTTGCAAAGCTTTTTTATTTGTGTTTTTAAACTTCCCACAGTTTAGGTGAGCACACAGCGTATTATTATGTGTTTGTTTACTGGCAGGATAATGAAATATCTACTTATCAAAGTAGTGCTTTTATAATTATTCTATCAAATAACAACATACATTAGCGCAAAATATTAAGGCAGAGTAGAAGTTTTTTGTTTGATATATTGTTTTCGAATGCAATCGGCAGGAATACTTGTTCCACAATTTATGCTTACCAAAGAAGTTGTAGCACGTCCTGTTTAAACAATTTGATTTAACTAAAAACAAAAATAAACATGTAACTAAACATGAGCATATGTAATGCTTATAAAAATTTACATCTACGTACAGAGTGAGCGAAATGAAGTGATACCAAAAAAAAAGTCCACCGGAGGTACGCGAAAAGTATTATTAAACTGAAGTTATACTTAAAAAAAATACCATAATTAAGAATTAAAATCTTGAGACAAGGGAACGAAAAGGAATACACACACCATGTCCCTTTCCTTGTGTTATGTTCCTTTTCGTTTCCTTGTCTGAATGTTTTAATCCTTAACTAGGATTGTTTGCCAGCTCGCCTTGACTCTTATTGAAGTTAATCGCGACTCCAGCGAACTATAGGGGGCGCGCTGGTCAAGCGAAAAAGCGGACGAAAGGAGGTTGTTTTTGTTGTTCAGCACGCGGACCACCATAGGCCTATTTCACTGCGGCGTAAAATCTGTGTTACACATGAAAGGAAAGCGCTTTTTAGACGGCATCAAGCCTCCTCTAGTCAGTGCGTAAGAATGACACGGCGGAAGCAAACAATTAATTACTGGAAACGGTGTTTGTTTCTATGCTGCCTACAGGAACCAAGCAGCGATAGCAGACGACAGAGTCAAAACGACCTCCACTCCTGAGCTTCTTGGCGTGGCCGCTACGCGGCGTCGGTTTCGTTGGAGTCGCCAATACTCCCAGCGGGCAATATGTGCAGATATAGTCGTAACCACCAATTTTTTATTCAGCTACAATTGAATAATAAACTTGTTAATTACAGTAATTAGGGTATCTGCTTATGCGCCGAGAAACTGAGGGAGAGGAGGAGACAAGATGGGACGTCAGAACAACAAGCTCTGGTTCGAATGCTTAGTGGGTAGACCTTGGACGAGTGAGGCAGCTAGCCTTAGCTCTACCCACGAATCGCTCCAATCAGAGCTCGGCGCTTTAGCGTACCCTCTCGCCACCTCCTGTCTCAGCTTCTCGCCGCATATATGAAGTGCCGTTCACACACTTGCAACCCAGAAGGACGGAGGGAGCCAAAACTGGTTTTCAAGTTCCGTCTAACGGCGTAGAACCTGCTGCGCAGCAGCAGGTTCTAAAAACCGGTCTTGTCTCTCTCCGCCCTGCTCGGTTGCAGGTGTGTGAACGGCGCTTCAGAAACATCGAGACTGCCGTATTCTCAAGGCTTGTCCAAACAGGATACTACAAAACTCACGACTCCGGCAAGTCCTGCCGCGCTCCGCTTCCGGCCGTCGGGGGGAAATTTCCCTCCGTCAAAGCTGCCGGGGGGAAACTCCCCCCCGTCAAATCTCTTCCTCGCTTCCACCACGTTGGCCTTGCTCTGCTCATCACGTGGGTCCGGAGAGCCACTCACACGCTCTGTTGGCTGTCGGTCAATCGCTCAAGGCCTCCGCCGTTTTTCAAGTCCCGAAAAAGGGAAAGGGAAGATTTGAGTGTGAGGAGGCTAGCCTGGCGAGCGCGCGTGGCATCCAAGGTCGTGTCATCTTCCAACAGTTCTGTGGATTGGATTCCCGCGGCTCTTGTTCCTAGCGTACCTCGTATAGACAAACAAACCTGGTTGGTTTGGAGTTTAATCAAATAAATTAGATATTCTTAAGTTCTCAGTGTTTCTACATACAACTAAAAGTCTCACTGTGGAGTACTGCACTTTATTTATGTTTTTCGAGCTACGAACGAGGATTTTGGCAAAGAAAGCTGAGCCACGGCGGTCGAAGCGCAACCTTCGACGCAGGAATGTCCCAAAGCCACCCGAAGACTGACCTCCTTGACCTTCGAGCCAAGGCGACTGCGGTACGCGAGGGCGTTGGCGAGGTGAGCCGGACGCAGGTGGCGTGTGACGTCGAATCTCACAGGCACCGACGTCAGAGAAAAGTGGAGGAGGCGAGGAGAGAAGTCGTGAGCGTGAAAATTTTCACGACTCCTGAAAAAATTTTTACGACTCCGACAAATCGTAAAAATAGAAGCGACCGCTTCAGTTTTCACGATTTGTCGGAGTCGTGCGTTTTGTAGTGTCCTGTTTGGACACCCCTTAAGAATGCTTAATTTCATAAAATTTTTTTTAACCAGCTCTGTTTCCAAGATTTCCGTTTCTAAATTTTCCACTCAAGAAATATATTTAGGTACCCAAACCGCGAAGGTCGGGGAAAAATTCTTGAACAAAAAGTAAGGGCGCAAACGAGCTGGTGTACATTGCACATGGTTGAAAAAAACCCGAGACTGCGGGTAAACGACACAACACTAAAAAGTCTCTAGAGACTTTTTAGTGTTGTGTCGTTTACCCGCAGTCTCGGGGTTTTTTCAACCATATGAAAAATTCTTCCCGGTGTTAAGCGGGAGACACATGTACGACGAAACCTTCCGATCCGACGTGCGGACTGCCGGAATGACCTTGGGGGGAGAGGGTGTTCGTAGTATCGGAGAGCGTTGAAAACCCTCGCCTCCGACCGTCGTATTGCGCGGTCGGACGTCGGATCGGACGGTTTCGTCGTACATGTGTTTCGCGCTTTACGAAGGCCGTTACGTATGACATCCCCATGACAACGGGGCGGAGCTGACAACAGTTCCTCTCTTGCTCTCGGCTGTTGGAGAAATGTGTTTTCTTTCTTTATCTCCACTCTAGCGTCCTTGCCACCAAATACTAAGTTTCCTGGGCCTCTCACTCAACGTACAATTAGTCAATGAATGAATGAATGAATAAATGAATGAATGAATCAATCTCTGAAGTACTATTCAGGTCTATAAAACCCTTAGGTGAAGAAAAATACGAAGAACATTACTGGATCTATCAATCTAAGCGTGATCAATCAATTAATCACTCAACCTTCCTTTCTATTTCTCTTTCTCGTACACCACACACACTGTCTTCGTGACGCTGGCCCCCATCTACATGCAACCCCCTTGTTCAAAGGTGTGGCAGTCATTTAATAGTGAAGATGATCCGCTGGGCTCACCTCTTTGATGCACCGATGACCGTGGCAACGTATGAGCTCCCGGTAGAGTCGGCCTGGTTCTTCGTCGTTCTGCTCAAGGTAGCTGCGAGCTTGCTGAATACAAAGGAAAATATCAGGCATTGAATTGCAGATTTTACGGCTCAAGCATGTACCTCGCTGGTCAGTTGAGCGAAGTCGGTTCGAAACTTGCGGATAACTCTGGACAGTTCCTGGAACGAACAGAGATGGTACCTAAATACGCACCGTGATAATATTTTATTTCGAAGCAGAGCAGAATTAGCACGTTGGTACATTATATTGAAAACTCATTCTGTTGGCACTTGGACAATAGATGAGGGGCTACATGCATTTAAGCTAACTGCACTGGCACGGTTCTTAGCGCGGTGAGTTTTGCTGCTTTCCTATTGCAATTAGCAAACTGTACTTCTCTTTCACAAGCGCTCTACATCTTCTCGTGCCTCACGAGAGAATTTAGTTTGTATTGCCGCGCGCGCCGCTAGCCAAGTTGGCCGCGCGCCTGTGGCCGAATGGGAATCGTGCTTGGCTCCCACGCAAAGGGCCGAGGTTTGATACCTGGGAGTAAGCGCACCTTTTCGTGATTTCTGTAAATGTCGCGTTCTGGTGAATTAAAGAATTATGTTGCTTATTCGAGGTCCGAATGGTTCTACTCGCCGAACCGCCTACACCGATTGTTCTAGAGGCCTACGCGTGTAGTACATCAGGGGTTCCGCGTGGCGAGCCAGAGTCAGTCTTTCGCCAGCACTCGAGCCAACATCCTCGCCGACGCCCACGACGCCCTGTTATTACACCGAAGCTGTTTATGGCTAGGGTTTCGTGTATTTGTTTTTTTTTTTGCGTGACCAAAAACTTTACGTGCACCGTCACACGTGCCGCACGCTCGCCTTCCTCGTACAAAAGACATTGAAGTAAATAATCAAAATAAAGCGTTGACGAACGCGCGTGCAAGATGCTATTTGTTTTAGGCTTTTGCTTTAGAACAGTTACTGCTGCAGACGCAGGTACATTCTGCGCGTGGAACACCATTTCCTGCACTCCTTGATGCTTGGGTAACTTAGCAATAGGCCCATTCAATAGATTACTGGGTGATTCAAGGAGACGCCAGGCTCTTTAAATCGACCGAAAAATTCGGGCTCTGAACCTGTCGCGCTACGACTTTGTGCAGCGTTGTCCACAGATGGTGCATTTTTCTTTTTGTAAAATTTGCAAAGAGCGAACTTACCTGAGGAAAAAGTAAAGAAAGAAAAAGGCTTAGCTCTTATTGAAACGCAGCGACGCCTCTTCAAACAACACGGCGCCGTTTCGCACGGGAGACAAGAGATGGGATATTCAGGAATGACTTAGCCTTGGGATTCTACCCTCCCCCTTCCCCCCCCCCCCCCCCTTATATCCAAAGATCCACAAACCTAACGTTCCCCACCGACTCACTGTGGACTTCCCCACTTCGCTTCTCTGAGCGCTGTCAAACTGCCTTCACCGCACTTTCTCGCCTCTTGTTGGAAAAACGCAGACCTATGTGCGCAACTCTAGTAACTTTGAGGAGCTAACATCCTCGCTTAAAGTGTGCAATACAGGCGTCATGGTTTGACGTTATACCACTTTTCACAAGCGTGCCGGTTTGCCTGGTGGTCACGACGAGAGACGCCCTCGAGAGAGAACACGACCTGAGCGAAAGAACCAGCCTCAGCGTGGACCAACTGTGACGCCTCCTTGAGTTTTGCCTGCCAACATATCATGCTCCTAAAGAAAGACCGCAGGACATCTTCTACAAGATTCCCTGCGCGCATTGCCCCGTCACCTACATCGGCGAAGCAAGACACTCCGAAAGAATCGGTCACCACAAAAACGACGTCCGCGAATTCAATCATGAGCGCAGCGCTGGTGCTGAGCCCAGCACTGTTGCCGAGCACTGCGATGTTAAAGACCACCGTATTCACCTCAAGAAAACGTCCATCCTCACAAATGAGACCAACCCTGGGCAGAAACGTCTTGTAGAACCAATGCATGTTCATACCACCGCAGCAAACGTGAACAGGTGCCTTGGCAATTTACCTACGGTATACTCCAAATGACTACGCCGCGTCACGAAGGACAAGGAAAAAAGAAAAACACACCTTTTTAGAAGAGGAAGAAACTGCTGCGAGTCAACGTTTATACCCGGTTTTAGAAGAAGCTACTCCTCAACGGGCACAGGATCCCGTGACGAAAGAAGCGAGCTGGTTCAGAAGTGCTGTGCCTCTGACATTTAGAGATTGGTTGTTGAATATTTTTACTTTTTAATTATTTGATATCAACCAGATGGACTTCTGTCAAACATGTTTACCTTTAGGTAATAAAAGTCTAAGTTGTATAAGTATAAACGTAAGTATAAAGTATGAGAGAACGCTGCTGCAATATGCGCACGTGTATTAAAAAAAGGCTCAACATATTTTCCAATGGTCAAATAATCACAAAATAGTTTAAAACGCGACTTTAATATTTATTGCTTTCGATGATGTTATGTTCGAAAAATTCCTCGCTTTCGGATCTAAATTCCACGCAGATAATTGCAGAAGGTTCGCTACCTTTTCATGATTACAACATGCTTCGAGTTTAAGACGAAGCCCCTTAGGTACCTGAGTCTCAGCCAATGTTTCACTAGTCAATTTAGATTTTGCTTCAGAGATTACCGTTGGAGGCATTAGTCATATATCACCAATGATCACAGCAGTCATAAGTGCTGAAGTACAGGTTGTTTTGCAGAACCTCGATGATCACTTTGGGTCACTGCCGTCGTGGGCAGGGGGATTGTGAATGACGCTAGCTGCTGGAGGGTTGGTTGCCGATGACAAGAGCCATGAATCGGAGGCTTCGTGTTCGATTGCAAAGATACATAAAAATAAATCTTTACTGAAACTTTAGGTTGCACACAAAAAGGGGAAAAAAGATGAAGACTCAAAAAGCTGCCGCGCACGGCTTACAAATAAAGGACGCCTGGGTCCTACCGGGCACGATGACGACAGTGGCTACTTGGTTGGCGCTGAACGAAGTACTAGCTTAATCACTGTTAGTGGGAACACAGGAGCGCGTGGCATCGTGTGCTATCGCAGCAGTTTAACGGTCAGTCGCGCAAGTGCAACTGCAGCGTTGCGTAGGCGCTGCAGTTGAGCGCCTGGCCGTTAGAATGCTCTGATAGTACCCGATTTTACGCGCTCCCGTGCTGCCACAAACTTCGATTAAGATAGAACCTGTCACGCATGACAGGTTACGCGGCGCACCGCGGAGATGAACTTTAAAGGGTCTCCCACGAGCCCGTTCCGAGCTCAACGATGTACCCTCTGGCCAAGGGTTACGATACCTTGCCGGAGGCCGTCGCCGTCCAATCAGGGCCTTGAAAACATCGAATTGGTCCCATGCACCAACACATGCTAAGGGAATCACGTTCGGGATCGCTGCCCCCGCGTGGGGCTTAAAAAGCTCTTTCTTTGGTTTAAAATTCCTGGACCCGAACCTGAGTCCTGTTCTGCTTACATGCCAGAGAAAATATACGAGTCTGCTAAAATCACGGAAACGTGCCTCGTCGGGCGACTATTCCACCACAAAATGTGGGTGGACGTGGCAAAGCAAAAATCAAAGCGAGCCAGACGTGCACAAAACTTTAGTGTACGAGTTCCAACGCAAGCCTCGGGGTCAAGTTCCCCAAGAAGCACTTACACCGTAGTTTACGGAACGAATTGACGGTCGCTGATTCAGGGGCCGATCCAGAACTCCGTTTAGGGGGGGGGGGGGGGGGGTGTAAAATTTGTAAGGATGCTATTCTCACATTCTTTTGTGTGCACCGGGGGGTCCACCCATGTCAAATTGCCTTCCGAGAAGGGGAGAGGGGTGGGGGTCGACTTGGTTTTGGGGGGAAGGGGCGGCCGCCCCCGTCGCCCCCCCCCCCCCCCCCTTGGACCGGCCCCCTGCACTGACCAGTACAACTCGGCATTTCGCCGAAAACATACACTCGCGAACCACGGTGAGCACCACCGAGACATGTCGACCGGTGCACGTTTATGCGACCAAGGGGCGCCGATGAAGAAACTCAAGCAAAAAGAAACGTACGTGACGCATATACAAGAGTATCGTGCCCGGTCTTCGAGCATCACGAGAGAGGTGCGATTCCAGGAGCCCGACACAGTTCCCCTCTTGCTCAGCGAAGGACCTAACGTTCGCCGACATGTTTTTCGCTTGGCCCCGGGTTCCTCGATGAATTTACGTTTGGCCCTGTGCTTCAAGTTCAAGGAGCAGACGCTCGCAGCCCTGGGGGCAATAGTATTTCGTGGATAAGCGGAACCACCCCACGAGATACACAAACAATCCGCGGAAGCAGAACTCTGTTTTGTACGCGCGCGGGACCCCCCTTGAACTTGGGAAACGCGACACTTGGTCTCCCAAAGCGCTTCCCGGGACCCGGTCGAAGCGCCGACAGACACTTAAGCAAAACAAAGCGCAGGATGCTCTTCTGACTATTTTCAAAAATAATAAAGAAAAAGGACCTCCTCTATAACATATATCGCCAGTGGGAACAGAAACATATGGGATGCGATCTATATTGTAATTACCCCCCTCCCATTGTGTTTTCTGAGTTTCATTATTGGTCAGCGACAATGGTAACTATCATCGTGCTTCTGAACTAGAACAAAAAAAAAGATTAAATTACACTAGCTATTTCATGCTGGAAAAATATTGGAGGACACAGATTGTGCTGAGCTACCATAGGAATGAAGTTTGCGGGTTGCGTTTGCTGTCTCTGTGTGATGAAGGTTGAGCTGAAGTATGCGGGACTAGTCCAACCACACACTTAACGTGTGTGCAAACTACAAACATTCTCTGTTCTCCGGCCTCGTGAGCATCATCAAGCTAGTCTAAATGCTTGGTTTATTAATCGCTTTTTAGGTTTTCCCATGGAACTACTCAGCTTAGCTCAGTTGGCGCAGGATGCGAATCACTTGGTTCGAGAATCCCGTCGGGAGTATTCTTGTATTTGCGTTTTAATGTGACCGCATGAGGCGTATACGGTTCGTTTAACGTTAACTTACATGTAAAGGTCTATTGTTAGAACCAAGCATAACGGTTTTTCGTGGACAACCAGCGTATAAATACACGCTATTTAAAAAAAAAAGTTATTAAAACATTGCTTGGCTCTAAACGGATATGGGAAATGTGAGGAAGGCTCACGAGCGGTTACCATACACTGCTATTCTGAGTTGGAACACCATTTCGTTATACCTCCATACAGACGCTTAATGTGGGAGAACAGCTATTAATTTCTGATTTATTTAGGAGTGCGTGACCGATAATGTCGCTGGGGCGCGTCTACTGAGCTAAACTAGGGTTAACCACCGAGCGCTTTAATCTGAAACATAGCGATGCAGCGCTAAGCCAGGCGATCAAAGGACAGCTTTGTAAACTGTTCAAATAGAGAGATCTGCTTTCTTGTATAGTTGATATTTCCGCGTGCGTGGCGGACTTGGCAACGTGCACGGCTGCCTTGCAGAGGAGTGGTTTCGAACCAGTTCCTTTTTTAAAATTTCGAACTCTACTGAAAATGTCCAGCTTATTGTACGCTCTCACCGCGTGTTCTAGTTCGTAGCGTACCTGAGCTTACCGCGCGTAGAGGGGCCGTGGGCATTGGGCAAGATCGGGTCAGGCGCGCTTCCATCACAAACGGAAGATGTGAGCTATCTTTCCTTCGAGTTAGTAGGCACACGTGTGCCTCTCTAAACAGTTATTAAATTTAATTTTCATTGAGTCATTTTTATTTGTGACAGTATGAATATTTGTGTATCTCCCCTCGTAAGGGCAAGTCACCTTCAGCCTGGCGGGAACATCGGCGCTCTCCACCTGCTGGCAGTTGGACAACAGCGTGGCGAGGTCTGAGAAAACTTCGGGTGTCAGGTCTGTAAAAAAACGAGCGAGAAAGCTTTAATGAAAGTCTTCACACGTGCGTGCGACGGCGCATTTTTCTGCAGCTTGAAAAACGTTCTAATGGAAGTCGCCTCAGTACTTAGTATATCGCAAACGGCAACTATCGGGTCGTTGGCCAGATGCGAAGTTGGTTTCGCCTGACGGTCCATCTTCGTCATGGGATCTCGACAAAGCCACCCTTCTGCGTCGTGGAAGATACTCTTCCGTGTCGCGTGTCAATGCGCCTTTTTCATGAGCTGTGTCACCCGCAAGGCCGGGAATAATATCTTCCTTCCTCAGTATGCCTGTGATGCATTTATAGGCAGTGGCAGCTGTACTAAAAGCATTTTATAATCGTGGCCAAACTCGGTTTCCGCAGCTATTGATGTAACGAGACAGCCTACATAGCGTTCTCGGCAATTTGACATTTGAAACCGCTAAATTTAGCGGGGAATCGGATTAGTGTTGAGGTCACGTAACGTCAAAATTGCTGCTAAATCTAGCAAAGAAGCTGAATTTGCCCGCTAAATCTATCGGAGAAACTGAATTTCCCCGCTAACTTTAGCGTGGAATCAAATTGGTGCTGAGGTCACGTACGGACAGACGGACGGACGGACGGACGGGTGGGTGGGTGTGTGTGTGTGCGTGGGGGGGGGGGGGGGGGGGGCGGGGGCGGGCGGACGGACGGACGAAGGGATGGATGGATGTTAATGGCTATACCCTTTAACGAGCGGTTGCTTGCGCCACCTAGTCTAAGTTTAAAAAGACGTGGCGTTCATTTTCCCGCTAAATTTAGCGTGGTTACGGCGACGCCGACGCTGACGCCGCGAAATGCGGAAACGGGCGCCTTATGATACGTTTACACCTGAGAAGAAATCCGCTGCCGCGGGCGCGGATCCGCTCCCGGCGGCGGCGGCGACGAGCGGGTTGCGTTTACATCCATTTCCTTCGGCGGCGGCGCCGGCTGCGGCAGCAGTTCTCGTAACACCCCGTCAAATGTGACGAGGAGGCGCGAGAGTTCCCACCTCAACTCTCGCCCCCGGGCAATCCCGGGCGTTGCCAGCTCCCGGAAGAACGCCTACTCATGACGCAGGCAGCGTCGCGCTGCGCAAGAATGCCACTTCCAGTCAGCGAAACGCCTCGTTCGGCGGCAGAAATAGATCCCGGACCTATACGCCTCGCCGCCGCGTTTTCCGCCCAGCGTTTCGCCCCAGCGGCAAAAGCTGGGCGGATTCGCTGGCGGATCCGCAAGTGTAAACGTACCATTAGAGCTGCGCTGTAAAACAAGAGCAAAAGTATTTGAAACGCCACTTTTACGGACTCACTCTCAGAGGATGCATGTTTAACAGGGTCTTATAACAGTAATATTTTACACGAGCATTTCGTCCTACCTCCGGAAACGCTGCCCAAGGTCACGAGGAGCATCACGTTGCTCATGGAGGAGAGCATGGAGGTGGTCATCAGGTTAAAGTGAGGCTGAAATTATACAAGCTAGCTGTTTACTCATTTCTTTAGGAAGATCCCTCTGAAAAGTGAACTAGGTGTATGCACCCGCACGACGCATATCGCATATTTTACATTAAGTCAAAGTTACAGGGTTCAAGAAAATCTCGCAATTTTTGTACATAGTTATACACATCACATACTGAATATGTTATCAGATGCAGTCTGCCACATCAATTTAAATCAATTATCGCAAATGAAAAAAATAACGATACGCGTAAGAAAATGATTTAATTTTTGTAACATCTCACAGGAAAAATAAGGTAGATAACTATTGCCAAACAACAAATTCACCTGTGCATTTTTCATTGAGAAAGAAACAATATATATGCTCTTCTGTTGCTGTTTCCCGAGGCAATATGTGATGCGAGTCGTATGGGTGCATATGTTTCTATAGGGTTAAGAGAACAATGCGCCTACCTCTTGTGGAAGTGGCAGTGACTTCGAAATAACGTCGAACATCTCCAGCGCTGTCTGTTCCTCCGTGAGATCAATGCGCATGTTCTTTATGGCATCCTTGGCAAGCTGGAGATAGTGTTCCTTCCAGCACTGAGCCTGTCGTCGGGGACAGATCTCTCAAAACACACTTCGTAATTGCATCGGCGTTGAGAGTTGCGCCCTGAATAACTTAAATCCCACGGAATAACTAGGGCCACCAAGCCGTGGGACCGTGGGCGTCTGTCCGTGGCGGCTTCCTGAATCAAGCAGGTACATTAGGTACCATTAACGACGACGACGATGCCAGGAAGCTACACCGGGTGACCGGGGCACTACGTTCTAGCCCTGGACGTCAATGCATCGGGAGTGGCAGCCGTCTAATTTGACTGGGCCACCACCTGGAGCCGCTGCCTTCAACGAAGCGAGCGAGCGCACCATGAACCGCCTGGGCTTTACCATCCAGAACGTCCATTGAACAGCCTACCGAAGGTCACCTTGGCTCGCTTGCCTACTGGCCTGAACCGCCGCCGAACCTCCAAGACTCGTGCGGTGGATCAGAAGAGCACGTCGTCCTGAACACCATGAAACCGCCAAGGCTTTCCCAGCCGCACGGTGAAGCCTTCGGACAGCACCCTTTGCCCAGGCACTTCTTACAGCTGGTAGAAGTGTCTTGGCAAACCCCGAACCTTCAAGCAACGGTGCTTGCGATGTTGAGAAGACTGCGTCGTCCCCCCCCCTCCCCCCCCCCCCCCCCCTTGTATATATCATCTCATAATCATCAACACTAGACGTGGCACCGCGGGCCTCCATGGTACGGGCTATCGCCTTTCCGCGGTGCCACGGCACTCCTGAGCCAATAAAGATAACGATTACGATTACGATTACACGTTTGCGTTTTCAATACCGGCGGAAAAGTGCTCTAGCCCGCGGATGGTAACCCATCTCAATGTATGCGAATTCAAGTTTACTTTACGAGAAGTTAACATGGCGTGGCCATCCTTCTCACAAACCCTGAGAAGAAAGGCCATCTGTTGGAAACCGGTCAGCTTGCTCGGATGTCCGTTCCTCTCCACAAACTTGGCTGCGACGTCCTTGGACTCGTAGAGACGTCCTAGCACACCATAGAACATCCCCTTGGTCATCAGGCTTTGCTCCTCATTGTGCTGGAACATGCCCTGAAACGACGCGTCAAGGAATCAGCTGCCTCTGTAGAAATCAATAAGGCCCTTCATTTTAGAGCGCAGCTCTTATATGCGCCCGTTTCCGGCTTGAGTGGCGTCGGCGTCGCCGTCGGCGTAACCGCGCGGCGCAGTATGGGAAATGTGCACCGCGTGGGGAGGAGGAGGAGAGGGAGGAGGACAAGGCGGAGGGGAGGAGGAAGGGGAAGGGAGGAGGAGGGGAGAGGGAGGAGGAGGACGACGAGGGGAGGGCAGGAGGAGGAGGGGGAGGAGGAGGAGAGGAGGGGAGAGAAAGGTGAGGGTATAAGGAGGGAGGAGGAGGGGAAGGGAGGAGGAGGAAGGGGAGGAGAAGTGGAGGAGAAGGGGGAAGAAGAGAAGGGGCGAGGAGGATACGGAGGGGAGGAGGAGGAGAGCAGGGGAGGAGCTTGAAGCATGAGGGGAGCAGGAGGTGAAGGAGGAGGAGGAGGGGAGGAGGAGGAGTAGCAGGGGGGATGAGAGGGTGAGGAGAAGGGAGGAGGGGATACTCTTCCCTAAGTATCCTTCCCTTCTCCTCCTCCTAAAGGGCTGTGCTCTAATTCGGCCTTACAGGGTGTTGTAAACGTCTTCCTTTGTTTTAACCCGCACAAACGTTTTCACTGGCGTTGACTAAAAATGTTTGACATAAAGCTATCTTTATTAAGAAACTATAAAGTCCACTTGGCGGTCCCGGAGCAAGGTGCCAATCTAAAGTCCTTATTTTATAGGCCCCAATAATCCCGAGCGAGCTGCACTCTGTCAAGGACTTGTTGAGGTGTTCACGCATCTATTGCAGATTTCGATTTCATGGTGAAGATTCTCAGGTGGTCTACAGTTCCTAAATGAGGTGCACCAAATGCCTATGTAAAGCACAAAAATGTAGTTTTTACGTATAAGAAATAGTTGTAAATTGCTGCGAAAGCTTTAACTACCGTACAGGCTTCGGGTTCTGCACCTTCGTGTATAAATGTCTAAACTTCCAAGTTTGATTTTAAATATGGCACGGCAGGTAAGTATGTTAAGTTAAGGTGTCATTTGTGAAATAATTCGGGGGATATTTGGTGTTAGTTTGCGGTCCGAAATCTTCTCACTTTGTTTACATTGCTCAACGGGGTGGCCAAAGGGAACGTCAAAGTATGCGATATTTGATGCCTCTAAATATAAAGTTTCGAAGCGACTTACATCCATGAGGCTCATCAGGCAGTTTCGACTGACCATAATGAAGAAAGGCCTGATGAAGATTGTGTCTGGTGAAGGTGGGGACAGGCACTTTGGAAAATGTGACTGGAAAAAAAAAAACAAAAAAAAAAAACAAAAAAACGGCGTTTTGTGATTTCTTGCTTTTTCCCCTCTAATACCAGGCGAATAGTCTTATCACGAACAGTTCTTTACATCTCAGAATTGGCACTTCTAGTCACATGTACATTTGTAACCAATCTGGCGGCAATGCGTTAGTCACAAGTCACATTTCTTTTTTTGAAGTTTCTCATGATGAAAAACAGCGTAAAATACAAGGACACAGAGGAGAGAAATACACACAGGACAAGGCGCGGACTATCAACTTTCTTATATAAAAAAAACACGCAGATAAGGATTCTTCTTTTTCTTTCACTGTGGTGTGGCTTCATCTTCTTTTACTGTGGGGTAGCTTATTTTTCGATTTCTTCGAAGGAGGAGTTATTCAAGGTCAAAAAAGTCCATCTCACTGTCTCTGAGGTTCACTGATGGTTGGCTCACGCACGTTGTTTTTCTTTTTTGCTACATGGTAGGCCTCAATAGCCTCCCTAGATAACTGAGTTTGGTGTTTGTGCAGAATATTTGTGTCACTAAACCGTGGCTCACAGCCGCAGTCCCGTCAATGCATTGATAAACGGGAGTATGCTCCACCTTTTACCGTAATGTGATATTTCGGCATCTCCCCGTTTGACGGTTGTATGAGTGCCCGCAGGAGAGTGGGAGGTCATGGACTGTCCACTTTTTACAAGGAACTAACTTCATGCCCTGTTTAATGTGGCATTCGTTGTTGTCTGTTGCCTACTTCTGTTTGGGCATTTTTTGACAGTCAAGCAAACAACAACGAATGACACATTAAGCTGGCATGAAGTTCGTTCTTTGCAAAAAGGGGACAGTCTATGAGATCTTAATCTCCTGCGGACACCCATACATCGGCGCTGGGCTGAGGGATTTCTACTCAGTGGCCTGTGGCAGCCTGCGTATGCGCAATTCCGGACGCTAGTGGCGGCTGAATCGCTGCGTTTTCTTATTTTATTTTGTGTTCTGTGGCTAATATAATTTATCACGGTGTTTAAGAAGCACTGTACTATTTTTGAGAACAAAAACAACCAAATGACAGCTGTTTTTTGTGATTTCGTGAACAAATGGAACTGGAATGTTGGTTTCATTTTATGTTGAAATGTTTACATCATACACTCAATCTTGTCAGTCTACAAAGGTCTTAACTGTCGAAAATATTTAACCACACAGGATAGCCGAAACGCATGGGTATTCCACGCTCACAACATGAAATTGAACGAGTCTCATTAATCGAACACCATATATTGTACGTAGCCAACGGCGCCGCGTTATCCGAACAGGACTTGAGAAAGGTCTAAAATTACACAGCATATCTGGTATACAGCGTCGATGACAGGCGCGTCTCGGTGATCGGACGGAATCCGGCTTGATTTAAAGCACGTTTTGTAAAGACTTTTTTTTTTTTTTTGCGCACCATTAAGGCAAATGACCGGACATGAGCGACCTATCAGGTATTTTTCGCTAAGTCAGTAAACATAGCTGGGAAGGCTTTTCGGAGTTTATCTCAATGGGAATAATCCTCGAAGAATGTCGAACGGCCCGCGTCGGGGGCTGCGTGACGTTCGCTTTCTTCGTTTGTTTCTTGCGACGGCCGAGCGGGCTACGAGCCCTGGTATTTCCTGGTTCCCCTGGTCCTCAAAGTGGAAGATAACACACAAAGGGTAAGCATCCTGGATAGGCAAATAGAGTAAAAACTTTCATGAAAAACCGGCTTCCACAGCTCAGGCGGATATAACAGAAATTTCTGGCTGATAGTGGTCGCTCGAGTCGCAAAATGGCGGCGGCCAGAGAACTCTTTTGGCAAAGGTCTATAGACCGTTCCATTAGGGTCATAGCCGAGGGGGTGAAAAGAGAAAAAAAAAGTGAAAGCCGCTTACAACTCCCTGTAACGCCGAATTAGAGCGCAGCTCTTGAGGAGGAGGAGGGAAGGGCACTGGGGGGGGGGGGGGGTTAAACTAACCAGGGGGGTCACGTAACCTTGGGGGTTGCGTGACCCCCAATGCCGATGATGTCATCACTGACGTCACTGATGACGTCATCAGTGACGATGATGATGCGGGTACCGATGACGTCATTAGTGACGTCACTGATGACTTCACCAGTGATGATGACGATGACGATGCGAATGTCGGTGACGTCATCAGTGACGTCGCTGATGACGTCATCAGTGATAATGACGATGACGATGCGGATTTCGGTAACGTCATCAGTGATGATGACGATGACGATGCGGATGCCGGTGACGTCATCAGTGATGATGACGATGACGATGTGGATGCCGGTGACGACATCAGTGACGTCACCGATGACGACATCAGTGACGTCACTGATGACGTCATCAGTGATGATGACGATGACGATGCGGATGCCGGTAACGTCATCAGTGATGATGACGATGACGATGTGGATTCCGGTGACGTCATCAGTGACGATGACGTAATCGGGGGTCACGCGACATCGGCGGGGGTCACGTGACCTCGGGGGTCACGTGACCTCGGGGGGTCACGTGACCTCGAGGAGAGGGTCACGTGACCTCGAAGAGGGGTCACGTGACCTCAGGGGAGTCACGTGACCTGGGGGGTCACGTGCCCCCCCACGAGGTCACGTGACCCCGGTGGGGGGCTCGCGCGGTGCATCATGGGACATTTCCCATGATGCACCGGGGTCACGTGACCTCGGGGGGTCATGTGCCCCCCACGAGGTCACGTGACCCCGGTAAGGTGCTCGCGCGGTGCACTATGGGACATTTCCCATGATGCACCGCGCGGTTACGCCGACGGCGAGTCCGACGGCGACGCCGCTCAAGCCGGAAACGGGCCCCTAAGAGCTGCGCTCTGAAAAAGTGAAAGCCGTTTACAACTCCCTGTAATGCCGAATTAGAGCGCAGCTCTTGAGGAGGAGGAGGGAAGGGTACTGAGGGGGGGGGGTCAAGTGACCTTGGGTGGGGGTCACGTGACCTAGGGGGGTCACGTGACGATGCCAATGCCGATGACGTCATCAGTAACGATGACGATGCGGATACCGATGACGTAATCAGTAACGTCACTGATGACGTCATCAGTGATGATGACAATGACGATGCGGATGCCGGTGAGGTCATCAGTGATGGTGACGATGACGATGCGGATGCCGGTGACGTCATCAGTGATGATGACGATGACGATGCGGATGCCAGTGACGTCATCAGTGATGATGACAATGACGATGCGGATGCCGGTGAGGTCATCAGTGATGATGACGATGACGATGCGGATGCCGGTGACGTCATCAGTGATGATGACGATGACTATGCGGATGCCGGCGACGTCATCAGTGATGATGACGATGAGGATGCGGATGCCGGTGACGTCATCAGTGACGTCACTGATGACGTCATCGGGGGTCACGTGACCCCGGGGGTCACGTGACTTGGGGAGCCACGTGACTGGGTGTCACGTGACCTTGGGGGTCACGTGACCCTGGGGGGAGGGGTCACGTGACCTTGGGGAGTCACGTGACCTTGGGTGTCACGTGACCTTGGGGTCACGTGGCCCCTGGGGGGGGTCACGTGACCTTGGGGAGTCACGTGACCTTGGGATGACCTTGGTTACGCCGACGGCGACGCCAACGCCGACGGTGACGCCGCTCAAGCCGGGAACGGGCCCCTAAGAGCTGCGCTCTAAAATGCCCTCCCCCTCTCACCCGCATGTTGTCTGCTCCGCCGAGTGGGCAGTACCTAGCATCCGGCTAGTGACCAAACTCTATTTAAAATCGCGTCATTTTGGAAATTTCAAGCGCAGATGCGCAGATTTTGGTATGCCAGTTATCGTGTATATATGCTAGATAAAAAGACTGAGTCCAATTGCGCTGTCATCTGCGTGCAAATAAAAGAAAATAGGGAAAACTGTGTCAGACTTGCTGGTCTCTCCGCCGAAAAGTGAATCCTGTGGCTGTACCTTTTTGACTATACAAAGTTCGTACTGGTGTAGGCCTTTAGCGACCATGAGTGGATGTCTGAAATAATAAATAAAAACGTGCTCTCCTGCCGCAATACACGCAGTAGTTGAGGGTTAGTACTGCCGGCTGACTGAACTGCTATTTAAGTAACGGAAAAAAAGATATGGCAGTTGATCATTTACCGAAGTAGAACAACAGAGAGCTCTAGGCTAATTTTGGAGAAGCCATAACTACTCTAAGAACGCGAACCACTTCACAACGGCAGCCACGAGCGAAAGTTCGATGTTCCCCACAGCCCGCCGATACAGCCCAAGGATGGAGAATGGCAACCTCCCGTTTTGTCGTCTGCTAGCGGAGTCGGGTGCGTGCCCTCTCTCTCGTTTTACCCCGCCGAACCCGCTGAATTTCCCGGATGTATAGAGAGGGCGCTGCTGTCGAACAAAATGGTGCCGCCCAGAGAGCGCTAAATGGAATGGTCTATAGGTGGTGAAACGTCTATGTGTTGTTGTTATGTGTTTCGTTATGTTAAGCCGGAGTGAAACGTTTTATAATATGACTTCCCCCGGCTTTTGGAATATATTTGCGATTATGTTTGTTCTTTAGTCCCGGTCTATACCTCTGTACTGTCAACACTTTTCTGCTCTTTGACTATTGCCCATCCGGCTTTCTGCCTCCTCTGCTTTTCACCTTCAACCACCCAGACCCCATTGTTTTTTTGCAGGCAGGTCGTGTTGCATTTCAGACCATCCTGGAGGCATTTTATAGAGGGAGGAAAATTGATGTCCAATCCTTTCGAATGAAGAACATGCCCCGCCGTTCTCACCTTCTTACTGACTATATATGTAGTAACTGAGCTGGAGAATGAGACGTCAAAACAAATTTCTCTAGTTTGAATTATTAGTGAGTGGGCACAAAGCCTTTGCCTACTCACTGAGCGAACGAGTTCGAACGCCGAACGCTAGCATACGATGTTCGGCGTTCGAACCCGTTCGCACAGTGACAAAGGCAACCAACTTTGC